GTTAGGTAAAACAATGTTAAGATGGTGCATCTATTAGGTTGAGAATATAATTTTATTGATTTATAGTGAGAACAATCAATTATGTATAAATACATGAACTAATATTTTGCCAAGTATTTACTTCGTCAAAATACGCAGTAACCTAAATAAATGTGCTATAGACCAAATCATTGGGAAAATATCTAAAATGTCTTCGCATTTTGTGATTTGCGTTTTGTATTTGACTTGAAAATTGTACACAAATTGCAATATTAGTTTAATGTGTAAGTAGATTTGCTACAACACACACTGTAGCTGTAGGAAATAATACGAAGAGACAGAAAATGATAAATGTCTTGGAGGGTTGAAATTATTACAACAGATTATATAACCTACAGAATTTTCAGCGGGAAAAATAATCATCGCTGTGCAGCTGTCCTCTGCCTTATTGTTTTTGTGCTCAGAATTTGCATGCACCTTTATCTTACGCTAAAGGTAAGATCATATGTTTTCCCATTCCAGTGTACGTTTCATAAGCTTTCCAGTTAATTACATGGGTTGTAATATTGAATTTCAACAAAATATACTTTACTAACTATTCGAGAATCAAGAAATGGACTGTTGATGCTCGATTTGGCTTAAATATGCAGATAAGTCGGTGATTCAAGAGATTGAATTTTATTAGACATTATCGTATAGTAGATTATGCTCTGTACTCAATGATTTTACGGTGTGATATAAAATTGCACGACAATTTTTAAGAGAATTAGGAATATACAGTTGTTTCCAACATCATAAACGGAGCGTGAACTTACGAGTGCCATATCGAGAACACAATTCGATGGTTTTAATGAGGAATTTCTGGCTAGTAATCCATTTCAGTTATGAACTCAGTTACCCTAGTAATGACCTGCAGGGCCCATACTTTCAAAAAAAGTTAAAAGATAGTAAGTTCATCAGCCAATCATCGACGGCCTTTCAAGCAAAATCCACCAATCATAGACAAGAAAATAGAGCGTAAGTATTTAAGTTCAATTAGCCAGTTTTTAAAGCATGGCCCATGGGCGATACCTCATAAACGTGTCTATAGTAAGGACGCATCGATTTATATATAAGTTCCGCGCAGGACGAACCCGCCGCATTCTCATTTGTGTACCACGTTCGTCAGCGGCCGGTCTTGAGTCCTTTGTATAGAACGCTTTAATGCCGCTATTGCCGGCTGGGTTGGAGAGGTGGTTTGAATAGAGAAAAAAATTTCAGCAAGTTTATTCGAAACTTGTTTTGTGTTTACACTCTGTCAGAAATCATATGGTTAGCAACTTATTCGCTGTAAATTGTTTGAGCGTGTCAATACATCAGCTAATTTATACTTTTTTAAGGTTAATATGCAATAATACATAATGTCCCTTAAGTGTAATATGAAAGATAAGGGAAGTATGCAATGAGTTGTTGTAAATCGTACGATTCATATTAAAATGTTCATTTATATACAGAATGCAGATTGATGTCACTTATTTGCTTAAATCGCAAGTTAACCAAAAATTTAAAAGCAAGGATTAAACCACAAATGTTCATATCTTTATGGAAAACGTTTCGGAGTCCAGCTCCATCGTCAGTTCGTAGAATCTATAATTTACATCGCCGAGCAGTGTGGTGTCCCTGTTTCTGACAGTGACTTTAGAGTGTTAGCTTCCACCTCCGGTACCTCAGATTTGCGTATTTTAGAATCATTGTACATTTTTAAACTTAGGCCCAGTTTAAATTCAGCTGGTAGCTCCTATCCTCTTGAAATTGTGAATAGATAGGTTTTGTGCCCTGGTACTTGTAAGTTTAGGTTTTTAATTGTGTTTTTTGTGCTTTCAATTGTACTAATTTGTGACTTTCAGAATGCAGATTGTGTAGATCACAATTGAGGTTCATTCACTAAACTCATAAGACTTCATTCGGTTACTCACCATGCATGTGTGGACATTCAACAGAATCTGATTTTATTCGGCGTAAAAGTTCATCAAGAAGTTCGTTCAACTTGCTTCGCTATTCCACCACACGACCAAGGCTTAATTGCGCTGTACCCTGGGTCGCCGAGTTCAAAAGGAACAAATTGCGGAAACTCTGCAGTAAAATATAGAGCGGCGATGTCGAAACTCAGTACCTTCTGCTAAAGTTGCTTGGGCTACTACAATCTAGGAAATGGGGGAAATTATTGTTTTTTCGCTGTTTAAAAACAAGAATATAGGAACAGGATAATTGTAAATGACGCAAAAACTAAAGCAAGTATATAAATGAAGACGTCGCGTGGCTGACGTATACGCACACCGACGTACGACGCGCAATAATGAAGGTGAGGAGCAACACGTATCCAGATCAACGGTATAAAGGAATGATTGGATTAATAAGTTGAAATTACAAATATAACTCATTTATTATATAACATACTAAATTTGCTCGTTCTATTGTTACAAAATACTAATTATAAATTTATACTTATGATGCTATATAGAAGTAAATATGATGTAAATGACAATCTTGTTAGAGAAATAATAACCACTTAGACATTGAATAATATTTACGCAGAGTCTGGGATTTTGTGAGAAGATTTCTAGAAAAGTGTCTTTAGCTCATATTTATCTAGCCCTGGAATACGACTATGATATATCAATCGCTCTACTCTAACAAAATTTAGAGTCACCCCAGCTTCTGGTAATCCAAATCAGAAGCTGCCGCGTCTGTTAATTTTCACTGGGTAACAAAATTTAAAGTCGCCCAGCTTTTGTTAATCCAAATCAGAAGCTGCCGCGTCTGTAAATTTTCACTGGGTAACAAAATTTAGAGTCGCCCCAGCTTCTGGTAATCCAAATCAGAAGCTGCCGCGTCTGTAAATTTTCACTGGGTAACAAAATTTAGAGTCGCCTCAGCTCTTGGTAATCCAAATCAGAAGCTGCCGTGTCTGTAAATTTTTACTGGGTAGAAAGCTAAACAAACTTTTGGATCCAGGACAGAGGAGAATCCGACACTAGTTAGTTTAAAAAATTTATTTTTACTTTAAGCACGCTTCTTCAATGAATATCTCTTGAGTGACGAACTCATGTAATAACCAATTTACACACGTAAATAATAATTGGTGGCCAGATACCTCATCATATGAGACATTTCATCATTGAAACGTTTTATCACTATAGTAATTCATCATGGAGTCCATTTTGCAAACATAAGTATATGTAGGTGTAATTAAGTAATTAACATGCTGTGCTATTAGATAGGATTTAATAATGACATAAATTGAACGATATACATAACCATCCCTTGGAATAAGGTTCAACATAGGAACAAGTTCATTCGGTGGCTAACACAAAGGTTAGATTAGGGCAGGCTACACGTATGTGAATATTCGCATGTAGGAATTTTCACATATAGGAATATTCCATTCGCATGTAGGAATATTTTGTGCCATCTCCATCCTGCCTTCTGCCGTTGGTGCAATATCCATCCTGCCTTCTGCCGTTGGTGCAATATCCATCCTGCTTTCTTGCTGTTTGTGCAGTATCCATCTTGCCTTCTTGCTGTTTGTGCAATATCCATCTTGCCTTCTTGCTGTCTGTGCAATATCCATCCTGCCTTCTTGCTCTTTGTGCAGTATCCATCTTGCCTTCTTGCCGTTGGTGCAATATCCATCCTGCCTTCTTGCTCTTTGTGCAATATCCATCCTGCCTTATTGCTGTTTGTGCAATATCCATCCTGCCTTCTTACTGTTTGTGCAATATCCATCCTGCCTTCTTGCTGTTTGTGCAATATCCATCCTGCCTTCTTGCTGTTTGTGCAATATCCATCTTGCTTTCTTGCTGTTTGTGCAATATCCATCCTGCCTTCTTGCCGTTGGTGCAATATCCATCCTGCCTTCTTGCTGTTTGTGCAATATCCATCTTGCCTTCTTGCTGTTTTTGCAATATCCATCTTGTCATACTGCCGTTTGTGCAATATATATCTTAACTATAAATTTTGACCTAAGAAGCCTTTTAAGTTTCAGTAGGAATCTGATGACCTAAGCATTCACGACTATGTTTTTACGTAATTATAATTTATGCTTAACGTAATAACATGAATCTTTTATCTCTATATCAAGCAGAATGTGCAGTACTATAAAGTGTATGGTGAATTCCGCTTGGGCTCATCTTTGCTAGCGATTCGAGCTGACGTTGATGATTCTCAATATTAAAGTCAGGTACACACTACATTACATTATTTGACATTACATTGATTGATATTACGTACTTTGTTTGATTTCCACACACGCTGCATTGCATTGATTGATTTCCGTACATGCTACATTTCATTGATTGATATTACATATATTGACATTACATTGATTGACATTTCATTGATTGTTACATTGATTGACATTACATTGATTGATTTCCTTTCACGCTACTTTACAAGATCGCCACCTTCATAAGACTAGGCAGCGACTAGTGAGGCTAAAACCGCGTAGGTGCTAATCTAAATACGAGCTGAACTACAAATGACTGTTGAATTTGGTTCTACCTATTTTGGCGGAATGCAACGTTATACAGTATATGCACTAGATGCCTCTTTTCTTAGCTAACTGACATGCACTAGATGCCTCTTTTCCTAGGTAACTGACATGCACTAGATGCTTCTTTTCCTAGCTAACTGATATGCACTAGATGTCTCTTTTCCTAGCTAACTCACATGCACGTACTAGATGACTCTCTTCCCTGTTCACTTGCTTGCATTCATTTATACCGAAGTTTAAAAGATTCAACTCATCTAGCAAGGAGTCCAGGGTTCCTTAGATTATTCACATTAAGTAAAATTAGCTGATCGTTAATTTATTACAGAATTCATTAAAAAATCTAAGAATTTACATCCTCTGATAATATTATAAAATCGAAAATATTGGCCCCATGTGAATAAGAAACTAATCGCACCCGTTACAACTTACAGGTGACGTTAAGTAACGCTGCTGCTCTGGTCGTCTTCTTACTGGCTGGCGCCCTCGCCAGTCCCCCGTCCTCAAATGTAGGGACTGGCTCCTCGCCTTTACTTGAGATGACCAACCCCTCGCTTTTACATGAGGGGACCGAGCTCTCGCCCTCAGATGAGGGGACAGACTTGAAAGGAGAGGTGCAACGAACCTCCATAGCAACGGACACAAGTCCCAATGCGGCGGCACAGGAAGACGAGGATGGGCGAGACAAGTCCATCCTCGAGAGGCTGGGGGAGCACGACAGGCTCGCGGGGCAGGATGAGGATCAGAAGAGTGAACAAAGAAGTGAGTCACGCCGATAAAATTATTCAGCTGTTGTAGCGTCGCTCAATACCTTTCAAAAAGGTGTTCATGTGTGAAGAAACTGAACCGATGTGAACTGATGTGTGCTGAACTCGTACCTGTTCATGAATGCAGTTTGTAACAAGGTGATCATATTAGTAAACCTACTAGTGAAGACATTGAACTTATTAGCAAACACATGCCGCAATGAGGTCTGGGTACAATGTATGCAGCCATGAGGAGTGGACACACATAGCATTTGATTACAAGGAATAAAGGCCATGGTCAAGATGGTTGACTGGTCTACTGCTTAATACGAAGGCACAAAAATTTAACATTGGTCAATACATGTTCCAGCCTAAGAAATTGCCTAATTGGCCATGCCTCTAAAAATCTCGTATGACTTATACATGCTCTTTGAAAATTGCCAATATATTATAGTTCTTACAAAATTTCAACTGATTTGAGTGGCAATTAAGTAATTTAAGTACTATTTTCCATTAAAATATTGCGCTTATTCTAGGTGCATAATATTTAGTTCAGGCTCATGTTTGGTAGAAAAAATGAAAATGATTGGAAATGAAGTTATAGCGACAGCATTCATAACATTCTAAATTAATTTGCTGGTGTAGTTGCAGAGAAGTTCTTCAGCTGGTGGGTGAGCTACACCACCACCACCAAGTTCATACTTTCCCTCACCACCTCTTCTGTTCCCGCCACCTGCTTCGTCAGTGAGTTTTAATGAGGTTCTTTATAATTAGGAATCAAAGGAATGTGACAATGCATTCTCATTTATACGCAGTAATGTGACAATGCATACGCATTTTTTGAGCAGTAATGTGATAACGCATTCGTATTTATTACTTGCAATGTTGTAGCACGATCGTATGTAATATTTAAATAAGCAGTAAAGCCTTTTCCCAACGTGACCCTCTCTCGACATACTTTCTCAGCCTAATAATCATGTCACGGCGTACTACCCCAACCTCATAACCCTATAACGATATACCTTCCTAATTTCATGACCTTATCACGACGTGCTCTAACAACCTCCAGATCCTGTTACGACGTACTGTCCCATTCTTCAGCCTCTTCTTGCAGAGATTTTCTTGTTGTAATTGCCTATCTTGATGATGGCAACTAGACGACGGTGTAGGTGATAGATGACATTTTCCGAGTACTTTGGCTACAGATATGACCGTCATATTTGGTTATATGACCATCATTGGCTCGTTTGTCGGCCAGAAACATTAGACGGCAATACATTAAACCCTGGACAAGCCAGGTACTCATTTATCAATCAGATTTGGTTAAATGGGTGAGTTGGCATTAGCTGAGCTTCCCGATTGAAAGGAACTCAAACCCAGGTCACTGGGTGCGAGAGACGAAAGCTCTTACCACTGCAGCTTCCTTCCATTGATCCTTCCCTACTGCACCCTTCCAACATCCCATAATTGATCATACCAAAAGAGGTGTAATGTGCCATTTCGATTTCTTCAATTCTCAGCTATGCGCAGGCGCATTTGTGCGGGCCGTAGCAAGAAGAGTGTCTTGCAGCGCCTGACAAAGCTGAACCCTGATACCCACCGCGAGAGGCTGGATGGGTCCATGCGGGGAGCGCATCTCCCTGACCTGGAGGAGGACCTGGCGCGGGAGGGGGCTGAGGCCCGCAAGCTGCTGACGGTGTGGTCGACGGCGTTCTCCACCAAAACGGCCACGTCATACTTTACCAACACGTCCGTCACCGTCCGTGTCTCGGCGGCCTGCTCCATCCGAGGAGTCGGGTTTCCCCGCTGTGGGTAGTTCCAAACACCCACCTTGCGTTGGCTGACGAGGCAGATTCTCCTTGGGAATAATACTCTTGGATGGTATGAAAGTTTTAGCCACGCATAAAGCTACTTATATCCTCGTTTAGTGGTACTTGTACCTTCACGTAAGAGGTACACGAGTCCTCATGTGTAAATTTCTTGTACCCTTTCGTGTGCAGTATTTAGCTGGTGGCCGAGGACGTTTTCATTTATGGACTCCTGAAACAAGCCGGCATGATCTTCACCAAATTAAAAAATGGACAGCATTTCTACAGCGCATTGTAAATGTTGAGTGTAACGTTAAAGGTGTGTAAAAAGCTCGCATCAATCATGTAAGTGGCAGAAGCAAATGCCGATCCGTACATCCAGGGGATTTCAAAAACACGACCGCATCTCGACGTTGATCAGCGAAAAAATATTTTCACCGAACGATTTACAGCGTGCCAATAAAATGTCCTATATACACTATAATTTTTATGAATTAAAAATAAGCGACAGGTTTATACACTCGACGCACAGTCTTGATTATCTATAACAGGTTTACAATTTGCGTTTCAAATGCCATCAATTTTTGATTGGGTGGAAAGCTAGTGTGCTTGTATTGTTTGTATGTACCGCAGGAAATGTCCTTGCCTTCTTTCATTGCTCTAGAATTACGTAAAATAAGCATAATAGCTTGCCGTTATCACGCATGTTTGTACATATTTTGACCCCTATTTAATGAAGTAAAAACTCATAGATCAGCACAGTTTTCTGCTTATTGCCTTTTTCGTGGGAAAGCCAGGATTCTTAACTAGAATTGAATACTCCAGTAGACCTGAGTACCCATGTATGCCTGGGGTCTCCAGTAGGCCTGGGTATTCCAGTTGGTAAAGGTTCTCCAGTAGGCCTGGGTATTCCAGTTGGTAAGGGGTCTCCAGTAGGCCTGGGTATTCCAGTTGGTAAGGGGTCTCCAGTAGGCCTGGGTATTTCAGTTGGTAAGGGGTCTCCAGTAGGCCTGGGTATTCCAGTCGGCAAGGGGTCTCCTGTACACTGAAAGAAGTCTATGCTTTGAGCGTAGACAGCTAACGTGTCCAAAAATATTTGTACGCCGTTTCGCCTATATATTGGCTGTACGATGGATATTGCTGCATGGCTATGGACATCTTGAAAAGTCGATACAATATATGAGCTTCAAAATTATACATCATAGCATCCCCCAATGACCAATGTTCAGGCCAAACGCCCCACCCTCACTGATCACCACACAATTAATGAGCATTAGTAAGTCAAATTTTATCATCAACAGAGTATCGGTGTTATTGAAATACAGTGTAAATAAGTTGAAATAAAGTGTAAAGTGTTTTCCACACAGTGTAAATAATCAACGTTTAGGAAAAATTCATGAATTGCACATCACAAATATAAAAAATTTCGAGCGAATATCAATTAGTTAAGAAGGTGCTTTTTGTTAAAAAGTGGAGACGGTTTGTCGGTTCACAAACAACAAAGTTGCGATGACGCGGTTAATATCCACCTCATCGGTAATAACCACCTCATCGGTAATAACCACCTCATCGGTAATAACCACCTCATCGGTAATAACCACCTCATCGGTAATAACCACCTCATCGGTAATAACCATCTCATCGGTAATAAATACCTCAATGATAATAACCACCTCATCGGTAATAATTACATCCCGGTGGTTTGTGTGGATACCGTCCGGTTGTTAGTATGGATTTAACAAAGAGAATAGCACGTTTATGCAGTTCAGCAATTTACCTCAACGCGAATTATTGACGGTCTAGGGCAAGCTAAGCTACTGAATTACAGATGAAGCAAATAACGAATAAGATGAAAATACTGAATACAACAATAAAACAGATAACGGTTTAATATAAAATGCATGGCGTTTGGAGGCACATCTCGTGATGAGATCCGTAGTTAGGACGAATATCACCAAATGAAGCATGATTGTAACCATCACTGACATGGATAATTGCAACGTTTCCGAAGACATGCTATGGATAGTAGGATTATACACCATAAATAAGACACCAAAGCGACACGCCCGAGCTGCTAGGGGCTAAGGAATTGGAGGAATTTGAATTCTTAATATATTATATGATTTATTAAGTAATCATAAATCACATTTGTTTTAATTTCAAATATTTATGTCGCAGATGTCTACTGTCGCAATAGGAAGAGGAGTGCTACAGCTGTTGCTGGCCATGCAGCTGCTGCTGCAGCTGGTCCCAGCGAATGGCGTGATATCGGCCATAGCCACAGCGCCGGCTGAAGATGCTGCAGCGGTTTAGAGTGATCAGGGTATGTTTCTGACGCATTTTAATTTAGTTGAATTTTTATGCACATGGATTAGACGAGTTCGCCTCATGTACACGCATTCAAAAGATGACGGCCTCGTGTTAACACATTTCTTTTATGATCGCAGACGAGCGCGTCTACCTGGTAACATACGCTACCAGAACCGAACTATATTGTACACGTATAGTGTCACGGTGTATAATGAATGATATTTTACTTTAATGCAGGTTTCATCGAAGACCAGAGAGTATTTTTTATTGACAATTTTCTTATTGTTTTTCTCTATTCGGCGAATTAGGCTCTTGATAGGAACTGAAAAGTCAAATATCAGGTTTCCAAAGGACATTTCATTATAATTTTACGACGTTTCGAATGCGACATCATTCATTATCAAGTAGAAGAGCAACAGTTTTGCAACACATGAAAAATGTGTTTCATGTGTTGCAAAACTCTTCCTCTACTTGATAATGAATAAAAAATACTCTCTGGTCTTCAATGAAACCTGCATTCAAGAACAGCTTCTGCCAAACTACACAAATGATATTTTACTGTACATCTTGTATAATGTAGCTTATAATTATTGCTTAAGGCACATTTTCTGGTAGATTTCTATTGCTTCGAAAAATTTGTTGTACACAAAAAATTAGAGGAAAGTCAAAAGAAATATAAGTATGTCACAGTACGAATAATCTGATGTAGGTGTATAGTGAATGAATTTTGTTTACCCTTTCAATGATTTAGTGAAACAAACTATTTAGTGGCAAGTGGTTGCTATGATGTTCTGAATGACATCCTATAACTGCCTGTTCTGTCAGACCTCCATAGTTTAAGAATTTATAAGTGAAGTTCTACAACGAGACCTTGAGGTCCTATTTCGCCAATAAGCATGTGTTATTCTGTGAGCAAAATAAAACGCGATGTGCGAGATTTTCGCCTAAGTTCTCCATTATTGAGGAAACAGATGTTGTACCTTTAAATAGAATGTTGCCTTACATTGCAACTCTTTAATCCTTTAACTTATGTGCAGCATACAACTGATCGCGGTGGAAAACTTCACATCCATTGCAATCTCTTGACCTGATCCATAATTTCTGACTGATTCATTCGCGATCTAACTGGCCATTATTCACCACGTTGCTGTTCATGAAGTGAGTATGATTTCCTATTCTGCTATTGGTATTTCCTTTACCAAAAAGCCATAACATTCTAGCTCATGACACTTTTCTACATACAAATACGCTGGCCGTGATGGACGAACGTCGCAGATGGTTCCGCCAAAAGTTGGACCAAGATGTCTTCAGCTCCTGACATTCCGAACGCGACCGCCTCGCGTTGAATTAATGTGTCTTCAGTTCTTAACATTTCTGAGCGTGACCGCCACGTATTGGATTAATGTGTCGTCAGTACTCAACATTCCGAATAACGCAACCGCCACGCATTGGATTAATTTGTCTTCGGTTCACATTCTGAAGCCCACGCATTAGATTTGAGGTGTCTTAATTTCCAACATTCTGAACGTTCCCGACACGAGTTTACGTTGTCTGCATTTCCCAACACCCAGAAAGTGGTCAAGTGGCAGTGCCGGAAAACTTCAAGGGATCGTCAATGGGTGAGCACCGCGCATATTCTAGCTGGGTAGCTGGTGCTGGTTTACGTTGTCTGCATTTCCCAACACCCAGAACGTGGCCAAGTGTCAGCGCCGAAAAACTTCATGGGATCGTCAATGGGTGAGCACCGCGCATATTCTGTCATGTGTTGTAAGCCATGTTGCGTCATGTGTTGTAAGCCATGTTGCGACATGTGTTGTAAGCCATGTTGCGACATGTGTTGTAAGCCATGTTGTTCGTCATATGTGCGCCCGTTCGCCTGCTTCATTCCCCGGAGTGAGAGACAAGTTGCCTGTGCTCGTGGCTGCGCTGTAGCTTCCTTGCGAGGCATGCACGTGGGATGTAGTTTGGGGACTTACCTGACCTGCCATTTCTTATGCGGATGCTGATGTCATAGCTTGCAAACTCGGCATGACTCGGTTTGCCTAACTCTTCTTCTACTCTCATGCGAGCATAAACTCGGAAAGGAGAATAACTTTAGACCGATTGTAGAGACTACTTGGCAGAAGCCTAGGTAGTACCCGAATTTAGACTCCGGAACATTTTATTATATAAAATATGGTGACTACTTTTAACATTTTATTTGCTTTTAAATTCCTGAATTAACTACGTGTTTAGCCGCTTCTACTTTCATTCACAGTATAACTTCTATAATCAACAATCTTCTGTTACGCTGCCGATGCGTTCACCCTCAATACAGCAGGGCATCGTGCTTTTCTGCTTTGGTCTTGCGGTGATGGTCAGGCTGGAGTGATGCGACTGGGTTCAAATATTGCGCGGTTTAAATTTGATTATCGAATATTGGTATTATTTACATAATAATGGAATAATTTTCGTTCTATATGATAGCTGGCTTCTTCACTATGAGAAGAATATACTATGACGTATCTGTATATATCGGCCCTTATAAAACGTTCCCACAAAACATTACGCAAAATTTAAATACAATTAAACCAGGGAAGACAGTAAAATATATGTGCATTCAAACTATTTATTGTATTGTTACTTTATAGATGTAGATTATTTCCCAGAAATTGCGCGTGGCAGCATAACTCGTGAATAATGCATGCAAACGGATAAATTTACATTAATTTGGGTATAGTAAATGCATCCTACCACTCTTTTCCTGAAACTTTGTTTTATGGGGAAGAGTGAGTGAAACTCAATTGTAGAAGATCCGCAAACCAAATAATAAAATACGCAACCGCATACATAGTCAAAGAAATCCTGAATTCAAAATTGCAACAATCACAATCACAATATTTTTGTTAGCAATCCATTTGAGCGGAAATGATTGTGCTACGGAAGAAGAAAAGTCTTCTGATGCTCAGTTCGTCTTCTTCTGGCTCATTTCGATGTTCTTCCGTGACATCAACCGGTGTCCGTGTATACAGCTTTCATGAGACATGTGAATAGTCGGTTGTACTGGAACAGGAAACATTAGGCATCAGCGATGAACATTTACGGACGTTTTGTGATCTCTTCAGTTTGCTCCAGTGGTGTGATATCGTTGAATTTCTATGTAGGTACCAGGTTTTTTATTTCATTGTTCGAACTATGCGCAACCGCTGGTAATTTTTCCTTGTTACTTTATAATTTGAGCAAAACATATGGAAAATGTTGTATTTGTTTCTAAATCAAAGCACAGGTTTTTACTTACGTTGAAATATTTCATGGTGGAGTTCTTGCACGTTGGGTACGCGGCTATGAACTTGGCGTCAGCGCTGCATTTGTTCTGCAATGCTGACGCTTTGAAGGCCGCGTCGTCGAACGTGTTGTCTGCCTTCAGCTGGAGAACGGGAGTTGGAGATAGGAAGGATATATGGTAAATAGAGTTTGGATCTATTCAATTTTTTTGTTAAGTTAAAAAATTTCTTTAGCATTAGATGAGATCGGAAAGGGTATCTCAAGTTGATCTCATCTCACACGTTCCGTGTGACCTGCTCTGAAAAATGTATGAGCATCGTTGAGAATGATGTAAGGAGAAATTCTTAAACATGGAAGCATTATCGAATTGGCAAATGTCTTCCCGCTATGCCGAGCTAATTGCCTGGTCTGTGTGCCCACCAGTGGGTCACGCCCAATATTTTGTGACTGACATTAACCCAGAAAAAAGAGATCCTACAAACCAGACATATATTTTGCTGAGCGTGTGTGATGCGTGTGTGACGAAACCCGAATTTTATGAAATAATTTTTTTTAGAACGTAGTATTGGCTGGACTTGGAAGATCAACTCCATTAAGAGATTCGAGTCATGACATTATCTATTACGTCACAATATGACTCAATAATGGTTGAAAGTATTTATTTTATGACTAAACAATGTGTAAACGAATATTTATTTCGTGACCGTAATATGAAATCTTGTCTAGCTGTGGTGTTTGTAGTCTTGGAACGAGACAGGGTGTAGCTCCAACGTGATTGGTCGAACTGCTCCTAACCACGTTATAACGCGCGCTAGGAAGTCGTGAACGATGGAGAGTTTGGTCTCTTTGGAATTAGTTTAAGATTATTAGATTTTTAACTGTGATTAGATTGCCAAATGATTACAAATATGTTGACTTTATTGTATTATATTATATTATCTATTTTTTTGCACTTAGGAAGTGTTACAGTCTGTTTTGTACATTGCAAACAGTTGTTGAAGTAAGCTCATTTTGGCTGAGTTACCCCCTCGTTGTGTGCACTCGGAAGTTGTGTGTGCTCAGTGGTGATGGGTTTCGGTGACGCGGGTTCGACTCGAATAAGGCAGAGCCAAATTTGGGCTTCCAAGAATAAACTCCACCGCAGTTCTGGGCATAACTCTTAATGAGTTCCACTAACGGACTAACAACGGCATAGGTGGAGTTCTTGGATAGTTCCATCTCACAAGTCCTGCACTCCATACCCAATGTCCATTGTACAGTCATACTCATAAGTCTTGCACTCCATACCCAATGTCCATTGTACAGTCATACTCGCAAGTTTTGCTATTGCTGCTCAGAATTGTGCTTTACTCACAAGAGTGGCTGCTATCAGACCGCACGCCATGTAGTTGGCAATAATTGGATCGCATGTAGCCACGTCGTATGATGGAGATGGAAGGCCTGAGCAGTTCGGGTCTGAGGAGAAACGAAGCAGTCGTTTATGGTGTGATGATGACATCTCATTGCGAAACAACGTATATGAGTGAAACAATGCTGGGATTCTATTGGTTAGTTAACGTTCGGTAACTCAACCAGAATCATTGAAAACTCGATACGCGTTAAACGAAGAAAAGTTCTTGTCCTGCACTAGTCAATGAGCGAAATGCATGTTTGATTTGTAAACTAGAGTATCTACAAATTGAAGTCCAAATATTTTAGTGCTTCATAAGAGGTTTTTATAGCAACTATTGTGGTAGTAAAATAGCGCGTATTAATTATTTTAACACTTACTTTTATTAAATTTCTGAACATCCGCTTCGTACTGTGGCTTGCAAGCATACCACGTCGTTTTTACCACATTACCGTTGGCATCAAACACCGCCGAAGTGCAAGCCGAAAGGGCACTGGAATTAATACACAAATTAAATAGGTGCTCCACTTACATAGTCAATCATATTCTTTTATCTCTACAGTTACGTTTTCTTTTCAATCAAGTTCGAAGTAAGATGCGTTACTGAGAAATTAAATTTTTCCCCTTTCAAGTTATTGGGGTAGTTGGTCAATATAAAAAATCAAATTAAGATTTTGCATAAAATGCGAACAAAATTGATTTGATCAAGAAAAAGTCGCACGGCGAAGAAAGCTCCAGAATTTCGGTTTAGAGAGGAGCACAACTTTGGCTGAAATCACAGATTCCGAAAAGTTTTTTTTTCTGCTGACCTCCGCGGCATGCAAATCTTACTGTTCCTATAAGTTTAACGAACAAGTCCTTCCGTGGCCTGAAAAGCTCACTGCTGTATTAAGATGTCGAACAATTTTCTCTGAGATCGGATGCATGCAGGTGTAAGGCCTTCTCCTAGATCGCTCCATACAATGATTAAAGCTGAGTATGAATGCAATGATAAATATGATTTGGAATATAATTACGTGGCCAGGCAGGTCACAAATGTAATCGAAATCAAGTTTTGATGCTGCCATCGTATGAAGCAAAACGTCTTAAATATAAGAAGTTACTGCCCTATTAATCATAAGAAACCTAAAAATTAATCTCAGTAGCATTTGAAACAAAATATCTTCGCAGAAAAACTTGAACATCTTTCCGCTAGGTTATTGTTACTGCAAACCACTCATATGGCCATCTGAAGACGTGATACTTACGCCTGCGCCGACGCTGCTGCCGCGACGACGGTGAGAAGCACGAGACCTCGCGACATCTTGGGGCTGTGATCAGGGACTGGACGACAGGGTCTGCGGGCAGCTCAGTCTCTTGCTGCTGGAACTGCTGAGGAACGACAGGCTGGCAGTTCGAAGGCTCTTGCTGTTCTGTTACGTTGTTTGTGCGTGGCTCTGATTTTTTAAGCCTTCGATTTGTTTGTTCAGGTGCAGTGAGAACCAAATGTAAGCAGCCGTCCACGCAATTGTTTGTCAATGATTTTCATCCTTCTAGTCCACGAAGGCTGGATTTTTCGTGAGTCTTTTCATTATGAAAGTTTCACCCGTTTACTCTACCTCTTTTGCAGTAGAGTCGTGACAACCGTGGTCGGGGAAAAATGAAATTTTTCCTTGATTATTCCGCCAAAAGTTCGAGCGTTGCATAGTCACAGGAGATTCCATGAAACATCCTCAGGCTGAATAAGCTAAATGTCCGTTTTTCTGAATCGGTGTGATTTGTATATGTTACTCCCAGGACCGTAACGCACTAACTGTCGTTGCCGTGTCGTTGCCGTGGCTTTAAACTGTACATGTGATGGATTCAATATTGCCAACTTGGCTATTTCTTGGCTAGATCTGATTAATTATGGGCTAGCCTTGATAAAAAATTGCAGCTAGCGTATAGCCTTGTACAGTGGAGCAGGCATTCGCTGGATGAATCGACGTTCTTACAACTACCTATTACGACGTTGAGATCGGGGTGAAAAGAGGTTAGGAATGAAAATTGAAGCAACGTCATTCATGAAACGTCGTACTGACGTTGCAATGCAACGTTGAATCAATGCTGCTACTACGACATTGCTGCAACGTCAAATTCTCTGGTTGAGTAAATGTTGAAGTATCAGCAAATTTTTTCGACCGTAGCAGGATTCGAACCCGGGATCGCTGCAGACCGCGCGACGCCACTGTAGCTCGTGTGATGAAAATAAGCTAAACAATTATTCTATTCCTTGAAAATGGGAATGCATTCTCTGGTCATTAATCATACACGTATGTATATGTATATCATTCAATGTTGGTGTAATAACATTAGTTCCATGCTGGTAAATAGCTGAACATTCAACGTACCGAAACAGACAATTTTTCAACGTTGAAATAGGCTGTTTTCTGTTTCTTCTAGTGTTGGTCGAATTTTAACGTTGATTTGACGTTTAATTTTGATTGTTCAGCATTTCAACCTGTAATTAACATTTATTCAACATTTAAAAATAATAATCATTCAACGTACATATGTATATCGACGTCAACGTTGAAATAAGGTTGTTTTACGTCTCTTCTTGGGTTGGTCATATTTTGATGTTGATATGACGTTTAATTTGAGTTGTTCAGCATTTCAACCTGAAATAAACATTGTTTCTGCGTCAGATGGCGGCTGGGATAGTACGCATGTAATGTCACAATGTATGATGTTATTTTATTGTAAATCTTGTATAAATCTAGCTTATAGTTATTACTTATGGCATATTTTCTGTTACGCTTATATTGCTTCAAAGAATTTGTTGCGCACAACAAAAAATGAGATGCAAGCCAAAAGAAATATCAGTATATTTCAGTTAGGATTACCATGATGTGTGTGTATAGTGTATGAATTTTATTTATCCATGAAATGATTTAGTGAAACTGTTTATTGGCCAGAGGTTGCTATGTTGTTCTGAATGTCAGCCTATATCTGCCTGTTCTGTTTACGAATTTATAAGTGAAGTTCTCCAACGAGACCTTGAGGTCCTATTTCGCCATAAAACATGCGTTATTAAATCAAGAAAAATAAAAAGAGATGTTCGAGATTTTCACCTAAATTCTCTATTATTGGGGAAACAGATATAGCTTCTTTAAATAGAATGTTGCCTTACATTGCAACTCTCTAATCCTTTAACTTATGTGCATCATACAACTGATCGCGGTGGAAAACTTCACATCCATTGCAATCTTTTGACCTTATCCATAAAGTCTGACTGATTCATCTGCAATCTACATGGTCTATAATTCACCACGTTGCTGTACATGATGTAAGTACTATCGCCTTTTCTGCTATTGACATTTTCTTTACCTAAAAGCCATGACATTCTAGCTCATGACACTCTTCTACATTCTTTACAACAAATTCGCTGGCCTTGGTGGACGAACAACGAATATGGATACATAAAATTTTGGACCAAGATGTCTTCGGCTCCCAACATTCCGAACGTGACCGCCACGCATTGAACTAACTTGTCACCAGTTCTCAACATCCCGAACGCGACCAGCCGACCACCGCGCATGCGATTTAAGGTGTCTTAACTTCCAACATTCTGAACGTTCCCGACACGAGATTACGTTGTCTGCATTTCCCAACACCCAGAACGTGGCCAAGTGTCAGCGCCGAAAAACTTCATGGGATCATCAATGGGTGAGCACCGCGCATATTCAAGCTGGGTAGCTGGTGCTGGCGTGGGTGTCTGTCGCGACGACACGTGCATCGCTCAACAAGACGAAGAGCTTCGTTGACACAGATGTTCGCAGTGGTCGTTGGTGCTCGATTTATCACGCCTGAAGCTCGCTTATTCATTAGATTAACTGTTCAATGATTCTTTGGCCGCTTATGTTAATTTGTGTGTTGTGTTGCGCAGCCTCTGCTGTTAGCCAGTTTGATGATGTAAATTTTTTTAAATGCTATCAAAGATGACGTAAAAACAATGTATTGATCTACACCATTAACATTTTGTACACACAGTGACGTCACTCTAGAGATGCGCAGAACGGCGAAAAATCTTCATCGCCGTGGATCAACCTAATATTACTTCAAACTTGTTGAAGGATTTCCTCACTCTCCTCCCCCCACTTCATACACCTGCAATCCAATCAGTTTTGTCTCGTAAACATTTTACATAGTCTTTTTATTCTTATCCTTGAACTTTAAATTCACGCAAAGAAGACTCGTACATTTGGATTTAAATCAAGTGAAGTGTCAATTCAGTGACGTCTATAAGAGATTTAAAGGCAACATCGTGGTGAGGCGTAGGTATTTATTGTTTTATTGATTTGGAAATAATGTCTAATGTGAAGGATAATAATTCGCACTAACAGAAGATGTATTGATATTTCAATATATCTTTATTTCAGTGAATTGGTGCTACATGTATTGTGATGAAGAAAATATTGAAATCTTCATTGAATCACCCGCGCCACGCGGGCCTTTGGCCACGAGTGCTAGTTGAACGAGCATTAGTGTCCTTAGTTTGGGAACATAATTGGTACTTTACGTAAAAATGTGAAAATACTAAAGTTTATTATAATAGAAAAAACACAAACATATCAGGGGCCGCATTATCTAAACTTCGTAACTTTTTATACTTACGACAGAAAAGTTACGTGCTACGTAAGTAACACCCTAATTTTGGCATTATCAAAACTTGCGTACGCAAGACTTAGCTAAAAGCGTATTATCAAAACCATCTGGCTAACAGACCAATCAGAGGCTTTGGATTTGCTGTTCCTATAGTTCCAGTAACCACCTCTCGACCAGTGCGCTGTGCGCTTGGACGAAAGTAAGATGTGTGGTGTCAGCGACATTTGCGGTGCCTGACTAGGGTTTATTTGGATAAATGAGTGAGACGTTATCCAAATAGCAATGCACTTGTTGTTGTGATCATTAACCGAAATTTCTTGCAATAAGGGTAAATAAATGCATTATTCCCATTCAAAGTTATAAGTTTTTTAGAAGGTTACAAAGAATTTAGAAAATTTCGTGAGTTGGAGTTGCGACTGTCGTAAAAAGAAATAAATTTGTTTACAAAGAACTAGAAAAATGGTTGGTTTATCAACCTCAATATAATTTTGAATCAAAAAGGCATTAAGATATTGTTCAAGTGAATGATCATAAAACTCTTACATATGAATATCAACATTTGCTTGTAAATTATAGCACAAAAGGCAGTTGACATTTTTATCCCAAAAGCACCGTTAGCACGATCACATATTATGCCTGTGTGAATTTTTTTTGCAAAATTCTGTCACAATTCACCGTGTTGCAAGTAAATCAATAGTTTTATATTGCTTCGGCACACTCAAAACTTGTACGAAACTCCACTTACGACACCTCCGAGCAGGCGTAGAGCTACGTACGGCTTCTTGTACGTATCTTCCCGCGCAAATGTTTTGATAATACCACCGCCAGAGTTACGTCATCATATCAGCACTTACGCCACACGTAAGTCGATTTTTGCGTACTTACGAAGTTTTGATAATACGGTCCTTGAATTCCCGTTCACCAACAAACATGTTAATCAATGCCACAATTGAATCACTCCTACGCCATATCCTTGTAACGCGTTTTTGCAGGAATCTCCTCATCCCTGTCACAAATTACAATGACCGCGGCCTGCACTATCCTACCGAGCCAAGTTATGAGACTTATCTAACAATCCTTAAAAGTTGCGCTCTGTTTAAAATACACGCACTACAAATGAGAAGCAATGAAGATACCACGTAGATACCACGATCTTGCTATCCCTGACCCACAATATATTAACCCCATTATACATATTATCGTTCAACATACTCCCCCCACAACATATCACCCATACAACATATTACACCCTACAACATATAATCCCCCACTTAATATTAATCACACAGCAACTGCTACTCCCAAAAAAGCAGGAAACTTGTTTTTTATTGTATATCTTAACTCTGCTGCTGAGGGCTGCTTGAATGAATTTGAACTTTGCTTCCTGAGGACTAAACCAAATGGACTATTTTACTTAGGTTAAATTTTGGTAAAACCTCTACCACATACCGATTACAAATACTAATGTTATACCTTTACTGTATATGTATTACAGCATTTACTTCATAATTAGACAATAAATGTGAAATTTCACGTGGGTTTAGTGCGATGAAATGAATGCAATATCATGAAGTATATGAGGAATAGATTACTCACTTTGTGCAGAAAACATGAAACTTGTTATCCCTCGAGAACCAACTACGTACGCGCCGGCGTTGACCAGGGTTGCCAGACGGCCTAAAAAACGGCCTAGTCCGCGAAGAAAAAAGGCCTATAACTCAATACATTTACATATTTGTAAG